GAAGCGCGACTGCACCGCCTTGCGAGCCCCGGTCATGTTGATGACCAGGGTCTTCTTCACCGGTTCCGTACAAGCCTTGGCAATCTCCTTCCCTGGGCGTCGGATGTTGGTGGGGAGGATGCGGTCGGTGAGCAGGCTAACGGAGTTCCCGGCTGTAGACACAGCCTCCTTCGCCCTCGCAGCATCAGGGCCCGACGCCTCAGGGAGGCTCTTCTTCTCCTCCATCGTTGCCTTCAGGCAAATGCACGAACACCTTATGTGCGTGGTGAGAACACAATACTGGATACGTGGAGCTTGGGAAGGAATCTGCAGAAGTAGGTTCCCTCTAAATAGAAAATCCTCCATGGCCTTGTTAATTCCTCCTTTAACCTCTGCCTTACTCCCTGTAAATGATAGCGTTTCCTCCTCCTCAGGAAGAAACGGCACCCACGAATCGTCATGTTCTTCATGTCCCTTAATGGCCGAATTAGTACTGGCCTCCGTTGATTGCGCACTTCCTGGGTCAGGCGGCTCATTCCTCTCATCCTTAGAGAGAAGGAACACAGGAGATCTGGCTCTTACTCTCTCCAATTTAACTCTCAAAGAAGCGATGCGAAACTTCAGGCTTTCAATGACTCTTGTGGTATATCCGAGGCGGTCTTTGATACTGGCTAAGGAATTGGGATCTTGTTGGATAGGATTGTAGATGAGAGTCTCAGGATTGGTTTTCGTGTGGCTTCGGTTTTCAGGGATTATCCATCGGCGATTTCCGAAGGAGAAGAGGAGATCGCCTCTGGTGGGTTGCGGGAGAGGAACAGATGCCATTATAGGAACCGGACTTGACTGATTTCTTTGGGCCGTGCCTATTAGGAGCAAGTAATGACGCCACTGCTGGAGCAAGTAATGACGCCAGTGCTGGAGCTAATGCATGTAAAACAAAAAAATTCATTTCTTTTCAGAAAAATTCATAAAATCAAAATAATGAATTTTTCTGAAAAGAAATGAAACCCTTTAATTAAAAAGAAAGAAAAAGAAAAAGAAAAACCTTTCAAAACTTGCACTAAAATTGTATTTTTTTTGACATATGCAAAAAAATAAGCATATAATAGTGCAATTTTCACCTTCTACTATAATGTACAAAGATACTCCCTCCATTCCTAAATATAAGTCTTTGTAGAGATTCCACTATGGAGCACATACGGATGTATATAGATGCATTTTAGAGTGTAGCTATATAGATTCATTCATTTCGCTCCGCATGTAGTCCACTGTGGAATCTCAATAAAGACTTATATTTAGCAACGGAGGGATTATTATTTAGTGCTTGCATTTATAACTACACACATAGAAACAAATCTAAAATGACAATAACAAAATTTGCAAAAAATATACACACAAATTTTGCTTTTTTCAAATATGCAAGAATAAGCATACAATAGTGCCCAAATGACCGTATAAGCAAGCTGACTAAAAAAAGGGGTTTTATCATTTATGCCACTAGTAGTGTCCCACTACTCAGTTTTGCCATTAGAAATTACAACTGCTCAGAAATGCCATCGTTTCATGAGATGCTTGCTCAAAAATGCCATTAGATATCTCAAACATGCCATCGTTCCATTAGATGTTTGTTCAGAAATGCCATTAGACATCGTTATTATCAGGTCAAACCCGTTGATCATGTTATATGTCAAAAAATACCCCTAGACCCACATGCCAGTTCTCTCTTTCTCAAAATGATAAGTGTGGGCCCCACTTGTCAGGAGTAAGCAAGTGAATAATTTTAGAGGAAAATAAGAATGGTGTTAGGATCAAGTGGGACCCACACTTTATTGGAGTGAAATAGAGGGAGAGCTAACATGTTGGTCCATAAGTATTTTGGTCACTATAACATGGCAAACGAGATTAGAGCTGCTAGTAATGGTGTCTAGTGGCATTTTTGAGCATGCGCCTAATGAAGCAATGGCCTTTTTGAGCAGTTGAAATTCATAATGGCAAAACTGAGTAGTGTGACATAACCAGTGGCATAAATGATAAAAACCAAAAAATATATAGAAGGTCTTTTGAGTATTTGTAAACCAAAGTAATTTGGGTATAACTAAATTTAGAGATAATTACACCTACAATCCTTGTACTCTCCGGCATGTAATACAATGGTCCTCGAACTCGGAGAGTGCTCCACTATGGTCCTTAAATACGAGAATACACTTCAATATGGTCCTAGCTACATCCCGCGCTACTCCTTCTACAAATGTGGACAGCCAACCACCAATCCGGCCAATTCTACCTATAAATCAATGATCTAAAGGCTACATAAATCAAATTTTTGTTTGATGCCATCAACAGGACATGTAGTTAAGCCAACCAGTTAGTGTGGCATACTTTTTTTAATATCTTCAACAATTTTCCTGATGCTTATCTTATTATCGTTCTATTTTATCTCTACCAAGTTTGTATTTTTATTTTCTTTTTCATATAAAAAATTCAGTTATAGTGTATTTTAAATCTGTATTCTACTTTCATTTTTTTGTGCCTTGAAGAGCTAAACACGAACTTAAAAATAATGTGGATTTAACAAAAAAATGTAGAAAAAATAATGCATCTGTTGGGGAACGTAGCAGAATTTTAAAATTTTCTATGCATCATCAAGGTCAATCTATGGAGTCATCTAGCAACGAGGGAGAGAGGAGTGCATCTACATACCCTTGTAGATCACGAGCGGAAGCGTTCAGAGAACGGGGATGATGGAGTCGTAGTCGCCGTGATCCAAATTACCGATGACCAAGTGCCGAACGGACGGCACCTCCGCGTTCAACACACGTACGAAGCGGATGACGTCTCCTCCTTCTTGATCCAGCAAGGGGGAAGAAGAGGTTGATGAAGATCCAGCAGCACGACGGTGTGGTGGTGGATGCAGCAGTGATCGCAGCAGGGCTTCGCCGAGCTTCTGCGAGAGGGAGAGGTGTAGCAGGGGAGAGGGAGGCGCCAAGGCTTGGGGTGCAGATGCCCTCCCTCCCCCCTCCTTTATATAGGCCCCCTGGGGGGGCGCCGGCCCTGGAGAAGGGATCTCCCAAGGGGGCGGCGGCCAAGGGGGGTGGAGTGCCCCCCAAGGCAAGTGGAGGCGCCCCCCACCCTAGGGTTTCCAACCCTAGGCGCAGGGGGCCCAAGGGGGGGCGCACCAGCCCACTATGGGCTGGTTCCCCTCCCCACTTCAGCCATGGGGCCCTCCGGGATGGGTGGCCCCACCTGGTGGACCCCCGGGACCCATCCGGTGGTCCCGGTACAATACCAGTGACCCCGAATCTTTCCCGATGGCCGAAACTATACTTCCTATATATAATTCTTCACCTACGGACCATTCCGGAACTCCTCGTGACGTCCAGGATCTCATCCGGGACTCCGAACAATTTTCGGATTACTGCATACTCATATCTCTACAACCCTAGCATCACCGAACCTTAAGTGTGTAGACCCTACGGGTTCGGGAGACAAGCAGACATGACCGAGACGACTCTCCGGTCAATAACCAACAGCGGGATCTGGATACCCATGTTGGCTCCCACATTCTCCTCGATGATCTCATCGGATGAACCACGATGTCGAGGACTTAATCAATCCCGTATTCAATTCCCTTTGTCAATCGGTACGTTACTTGCCCGAGACTCAATCGTCGGTATCCCAATACCTTGTTCAGTCTCGTTACCGGCAAGTCACTTTACTCGTACCGTAATGCATTATCCCGTGATCAACCACTTGATCACATTGAGCTCATTATGATGATGCATTATCGAGTGGGCCCAGAGATAGCTCTCCGTCATACGGAGTGACAAATCCCAGTCTCGATTCGTGCCAACCCAACAGACACTTTCGGAGATACCTGTAATGTACCTTTATAGTCACCCAGTTACGTTGTGACGTTTGGCACACCCAAGGCACTCATACGGTATCCGAGAGTTGCACAATCTTATGGTCTAAGAAAATGATACTTGACATTCAGAAAAGCTACAACAAACGAACTACACGATCTTTGTGCTATGCTTAGGTTTGGGTCTTGTCCATCACATCATTCTCCTAATGATGTGATCCCATTATCAATGACATCCCCATGTCCATAGCCAGGAAACCATGACTATCTGTTGATCAACGAGCTAGTCAACTAGAGGCTCACTAGGGACACATTGTGGTCTATGTATTCACACATTATTACGATTTCCGGATAATACAATTATAACATGAATAATAGACAATTATCATGAACAAGGAAATATAATAATCATTTTATTATTGCCTCTAGGGCATATTTCCAGCAGCATCTTCATTCAGGACCACAAGCAAAGACAGTTATTGTGTATCCTCACTATATTTTTAAAATACAAAACTATTTAAAATAAATTGACAACATGTATTTTGGATAATGTTCAGCGTGATTTTAGAAAAAAGATTATATTTTTATCCAATTATACACCCAACTACTGATTTTTATTCTTTAATTTTCAAAAGTGCGTGTTTATTTTCCCTTTTAAACTTTTCTCAGTTAAAAAAGTAAGCAAAACTACAAGAATTATTAATACATAATTTATTTTGCGTGGTATCCGTTGGTTGATCCAAATAATCAGGCTCGATTCATCATTTGACAATAACAAGGCCGGCGTGCCCACGCCCTCGTAGCTTTTGTGATCGAAAATCTATAACTTGCATGCATGCATGCGCTGGCCCGTGAACAGATCGAGATTTTTGCTGCTGCTTTGGAGCATGCGTTTGGGCCAAGCTTTGGATCCTTCCTATGCCCGACGCGGACGGCAGCGTGCCCAGCTACTACACTGCAAGCATGCGCGGCACAGTGATTCAATGAAACCAGCTACCTAGTCCGCTAGTCGTATTAAACAGCGGCAACTTGGCCTCCTCGCAAGCCTATAAAAGGGGGATCCAAGCAGCAGCATAAGTCACCACACTCTGCACATCACAACATCCTCTCACACATACAACAACACCAGAGTCCAGAGAGATCGAGCGGATCCAAGCCAATGGCAACCAAGAGCCTTCTTCTCGCCGCCCTCCTGGTCCTCGCCGTCAGCCTGGCACCGCACGGTGCGGAGGCGGCGGGCAAGCAGCCTCCACTGGCAATGATCTCCGGCGTGGTGCCATGCAGCGCCGGGAACTCCATCAACGTGGCTGCGGTTCCGCCGTTCCCGAGTAAGGACCTCTGCCGGCCTCCATAGCCACCTAAGCAATTATATTCATCAACCGTCTTACGTTTGCTTTGCTTCTTTGCTGTGGACAGATGCCGCCGTGCAGATGGTGTGCGGCCGTGATGTGATGGCCAGCGCGACGGCGGACCGCAGCGGAACGTACACCATGAACATGGGCCCGGCCACATCATCGCTGCTCGCCCCTCTGCTCGGCAACCAGTGCAAGGTGGTGGTGGTCACCCCGCTGGCCACCTGCAACGCGTCCCTAGCCAGCGTCACTGGGACGCTGACTGCACCAGTTCAGCTCCTGGGTATTGACACTGGCAGTGGCAATGGCAGTGGCAGCGGTAGCGGCGGCCTCGGGGGGCTTGGCGGCCTAATTGGCCTCATCGGCCAGATCGTGGGCGGCCTCCTTGGCGGCATCCTTAATATTATCCCATTGCCCTTCTCCGTCGTCTAGATGCTTCTACTACCGGCGTGTCGATCAAAAAACACGACGGACCTAAATAAATAAATACGTGCCAATCTATCAACGTACCCAACGGTCAACTGTCCCCGCTTTATTATGTAAAATCTACTCGTGTGGTTTGTATTACCGCTTCTAAGAAGCACATAAGTAAGCATATCACCTAATAGTAGTACTCTGAGTGTGTATCATGTGATCAATATTTGTTTGTGAAAAGTAAAGCTACGTCTGTGATTCTATATGTGATGAATTACTTGTTTTTTTTTTTGACATTGTGATTGGCTCACTTCACAGTGGTACCCGTGCAAAGTTGTGTCTAACACGATAATTTTTGTATTACTAGAGGCTCACCTTGCTTTGCGGCACCATTCTTCACTCATGCGATTAACTCTTTTTTATCCAGTAGGTTTTTTGGGTTGATTGTTTTGTTTGGCTTTTATCTATGTTGGATTGGGTTTTAATTATGTTACATGTTGCAGTTTTTGTATACCGTGCGAGACTGCTGTTGGAGACACTATTTGTTCTAAGAGGAAAATGAAGTTGTTCGGTGCATGATTTATGGTGTCTTTACAGGCATCGGTCTTGGTGTAAGCAAATGGTGACGGTGTGAGCTCATATTCTATGATGAAATCGTAGAATTGGTTCGATAACGTTCGGGCCGTCCCATGAAGCTCTTGCTCGTTGAGCTCAGCTCCCTACACCGCTCGCTCGTTTAGGTTTTTTCCCACTCGCGACGCTGCTACTTAGGAAAAAAAAGGCTACATTTTTTACTTGAAAGGTTCATTAAATCAAAAGATGTTCACAAATTTTAAACATATATGGATTAAGAAAACAATGAATGCTAAAATATGATTCTGACTTTAGAAACATTTTCAAAAAATATTTATGAATTTTAAAAAGTTTCTCAAACTAAAAAAATCTCTAATTTAAAATTGTTTGTGAACTTTCAAAATATATGCAGATAAAAGTTCATGATTGTTTAAAAAATCATGGATTTTAAAAATATTTAAAGATTATTTAAATGTTCATGAATTTTTGTAAATTCTCATGAATTGAAAAATATAAAAATTAAAAAGGAAAAGGAAAATGCAAAACCCAAAACACTTAGCCAACAACACACACTTACAGGTGGACCCCTTAATGTCCCTAGAGGCCCCGACACACCAGGATGCTCCAAATCAAGGGAGAGTATATAAAATACTATGCCATGGATATATGAGTTTTCACCCAGATAAAATAATATGTTCATAATTTAAGCAAAACTATACAAGCAACAAAGCAAATTAGTGTCTAGTTGATTTTTTATTCATCCACTTATGCTTGTTAGGTAAAAATTAAGCTCTGCTTAAATTTGGACAATTTTGTGATCAATTTGTGTTTTTGCCGGTACTGGTTCCTTTCTTCTTTTCACTTGCCATTCAAAACATTCTCTAATTTGGGCTTCAACCATCTTTTATGTCTTCTTTTTTCCCATACAATCTCGGGAGGCCGGGTTCCATTTGTGTCTTGCTAACTGACGTTGAAAACAAGTTGGTGTATCTCTTACTACCTCTGTTCTAAAATATATTTTGGAATGGAGGTAGTAGAAACTAAGAAGACTGGTCACCATCTTTTTGTGTGAGTCGACATTGATTCGATCCTACCATGTGACGCATGTGGTAAGTAATCCAAACTATTTTAAAAAAAGACATTGATTTTTTTTTGCGAAAAAAAGACATTGATTTGATCATGGCATTCCACATTTCCACGTCACTATTGCAGCATGCAACATCGGTATAATTTATGTCCTAGGAAAGGAAAGAAAAAAGTAGGCCGAGGCCCAAAGAGCAATCTCGTTCCTCCTTACCTAGTACCATAACGGGCCAGATTCCAGACCACGTAGCATACTGGGCCGCTCCATCACACGCTAAACGCCCAGGCATTATGCAGGGAACAGAGGTGTTTTAGTAGAGAGATGCTACACTTACAGGCAACTTTCAACGCATTTAAACTTACGGACTGAAATGAAATCATCAGATTGGAATGAGGAGGGGCCCATCCCCGAAATTCAGGGGGAGGGATGAATTAGGCGCTGGCACATCTGTCCGTACGACAGTTTCCGTAAGCATCATCCATAAGTGAAGCAATTTCGGTTTTAGTACCACCTCGGCTGCTTACAAGCAGCAGAACTAGCTTAAAAGGGAACTTCCACTGCACTGATCCACGACCTTACTTGAACAGGATCTGTTCTATAGGATTGTACCGTTGCATCTTTGACTAATAAGGAGGCAAGCAGAACACTGTGTGCCAGAGCGTGATTAACGGCTAGGATCAGCTGCTAATCTATGGCTGTAGATGATCGTTCCTGTTCAGCCTAGCCTGACGCAGGGAGGCTCATAGGTTGCCTGAACAAGTCTCTCTCCCCCTCTCCTTTTTTGTTCCCCTTTTTTGTTGTTCTTTAGGCATGTACAATGTAGGATCGGATATGACGTAAAGTAGGTTCGGATAGGGAAGCGGAATCCTCTCCAGAAGGCAGGTGCTTGAAGAGAAAAAGTGTGGTTCGGTGACGAAAGCTGAAAAGGTTGGAATGAAAAGTATAGATGCATGTGTACTAAAGTCTTTATTTTCTATTTCTTAATAAGGCCCACTAATAGTAGCTTGCATTGGGGAGAAAAAATAAATGTAGATGCTTCAAATTACTTTTTTTCATGGGGCATATGTATCCATATGCCACCATTATACCTGCCCTTACCATTTTTGCAACAATCTGCACACACCGGTGCAAAGTAGCAGCTGATGCACATTGACAGTAGCAATGCGTACTTGCAGCGCCATCGGCTGCACGATCGTGAGCTCTGCACATGGTACGGTGGTGCTGAGCATCCAATTTGCTAACCTTTCTTCCGAGGGAATCCAAGTTGCTGCTATCAATATCAACCTGGGGGCTTCATCCAACACACGAAACGAACTGAGATCGCTCGCTCATGTTGCCACATGGCCCGGCCAAAGGACCCCTTTTTGGAGCGAGACGCGGCCGGTGACCCTCGCCGAGGCGGGGCCAGAAGCTCATGGGGCTTGAGCTGAGTGAGCCATATGTCTCGCTGCAAAGCTTCTCATGCATCGATCGGCGCTGGCCCAGGCGCACATCTTTCCCAGATCGAATGAATCCTCTCCGATCTCCTACCACTAAAATTCCTTCTGAAAAGCTCCCGTGCACATGCGACAGTACGGGCAGCCGGGCCAACTCGCCGTGTCTCACTCCGTCGATCCAAATGATTCCTCTCTGGCACGGTGGCACTGGCACCGGCCATGCCTTGAGATTTCTCACGGCAACGGTCACTTCTGAAACAAGACTTCTCATGCGTGTGTGACCTCTGGTAGACTTCTGAAGTGATCTTATGAGCCCTTTGACAATCGAGCCTGTACCGTGCGTGATAATTCACACACTGTGCTGCGCAATCACTCCATGGTTCCACGTATACAATACTCTCAAGAATAGAATGGCATCCCCATGCCATGAGTCAACAAGTGGTCGCCAGGCCTGCAGGTTGGTCCATACATGTATTATTGCACATCCATGAGCACCCCCCGTGCTCCTCTGACTTCCACATTCGCATCACTGAAAAATGGCAGCCCCCACGCGGTTGAGGTTAGGGAGAAATTGCCGGCTTGGCCCGTGGTTGCTTGGTCGATCGTTGCCTGTAGCAGCACAGATGATGCACAGCACAACGTCTGACATGGTGCCTACTCCTTTTTGACACGATCTTGGTTAAGACTTGAGAGTCAACCGGCCGGCACCTGTTAGCTAGATCCCACGTACTACTGTCAGGCAACTGATGGGTCCCCATTAAATGCGTGGATCAAACTAAGCTTTGACTTTCTGTAAACGCAGCTATAGCTTGCATTATTCTGGAAAAAAAAACACGGTTTTCGCCAACAAGTGCCCTAGCTAGCTATGAAACGCACAGAGAATTAAGCACACTAACCACGTAGTTAGCTTAGCTAGCTTTCCTTTTGAGTTAGCTTATGGGCTTTGCTACATCTACGTAAATAGTCTAGGTAAACCTACGTGAGAGCTAGCCCGACATGATATGATTGGAAGAAAAAACGGCCCGGGCCCCACCCCGCGAAATTCAGAAGTTTATGTAAGAGTAAGTAGGTCCTTCTTTACGTAGATGTAGGATTATTGCCCATTGTTAGCTTAGCTAGCTAGACCGTTTTGCAGCAGCTCACTAAGCACAATGGCAGATGGCATAGGGACACTCGACGATCGAGTTGGCCCTCCTGTTGATGCCGTTGGTAGTGCCTCAAATAAGCTACGTGTCACCATCACTAGTAGAAAAAGGGTCAAACGTGAAGCACATTAGTGCCGGTTTGATTTTGGCCCGGTACTAATGGTACCATTAGTGCCGGTTCGAACGAATTTGCATTAATGCCGGTTCGTGTTGAACCTTTAGTACCGGTTCGTGGCACGAACCGGTACTAAAGGGGTGGTGGCAGGCTGGCGTCAGGCCGAGGCCCCACGATCACCTTTAGTACCGGTTCATGGCACGAACCGGTACTAAAGGTTAGACCTTTAGTACCGGTTCGTGGCACGAACCGGTACTAAAGGTAACCTTTAGTACCGGTTCGTGCCACGAACCGGTACTAAAGGGGTCTGACCTA